ACGGCAGCCTGGTAGGCAGGCCCGCAGCACACGCCTGTTGAAGTGGCGGCCTACCTCTGCGGCCTGAAGCGTCCGTATTGTATGGGGAATGCCTGCTTACCATTATTACAGACTACCAGACAAATTATATATTGCCCCAGGGACAATTTTGTCCAGCGCCAATGCACATTCTCCATCATTTTCTGCATTATTAAACCGTTCCCAGTACTAGGGACAATTTTGTCCACTTAAAATGCACTTTTTTTTTTTGCATTTAGATCCAGAGGCAATTTTGTCTATCTATGAATGCACAATTTAATTGCATCTAGCGGGGTGGACAATTTTGTCCATGGCAAGATGCAATTAACTTGTCACTATTTTTATGGACAAAAAAATGTCCCTTGCCATTTAGTGTGTAGGTCTGACCTTTGTTTAATAACATTTAGGTACAGGTACCGCGTTGTAATGACCTAATGAGGAAATATGTAGTAAGGGGTTAATTTAGAACTGCACATTGTGAGGTTGGGCATCTGTGCAGCAGTGTCGGGGCGAAAAACAAGTTATTTATTGCAATATTCTAGTCATACTTAAACGCGTAAAATGGGGATGACTGGATGTAAAATATGAGTACAACACACTAGTGGAGCAAACAAAAGACCAATTAAAGGGTGCGGGAGGCAATATTTGAGTTTCATCATTGATTGAACGTGGCCACAATATGGTCTTTTACGTTGTACTAAAAGTACGTGATTTGAACTATCGCCACTTTACACATATCTTATTTGAAGCTAAATAAAACCATTGCGACCAAAACACCTAACAAATTCGACAAAAAAATAAAATAAATAAATATAGGGACCCCCAAATGGCCCGTATTCTGAGAATCGCCCTTTCGGTGCACGGTGATCGTTGTTGCGAAAATGACGACGCTTGTACGTTCGCGATGATATTGTTGTTCTCGATTTTCTATTATACCAGAGATTACAGAGATGTACATAACTTTATTAATCCTATTGTAATTTCATCAACCTGCTCTAAATTTTCAGTGCCAAACTAAAGTTTCATTACGCAGCTCTGAATCTTCAGAGGCATACTGACTTTTTATTACACAGCTCGGAATGTTCAGAACCATAATTAAATTAGTGGTGTCCAATGGTCGGTCGCTCGGCGCCGATGGGTGCCCATTGGGCGAGCGAGAGGGACGGAGCTAGTGGCCGGCTAGCGCGTGAGAGAGAGACGGCAGTCACGTGTAGTGGGGGGTTGACCGACCATTGGACATCACTAAATTAAATGCCATTATCTAGTTCTGTACCTTACAGTACAAATACTGACATCTCAGTATACAGTTCTTAATTTTCATAACATTGTATTATGTCAAAACGAGTCCAAATTTTTAGTTTAAACATGAAATTTCATAACTATTCTGAAAATTCAGTTAATTTTGGGTTTGGAATCAAAACGTTCACTGAAAGTTCCTAGTAACACGCATGTGTACGTGTATAACAGTTGTTACATTCATAATTTTACGTTACTGTTGTTACACAAAGTGGTATACGTAAAAAATGTTGCATGAACTAAAAAGTGTAACAGCTATTTCACTGCCAATTATGCTCGGGACGCATAGCTTTAAGTTACAATCAACAAAAAAAAATTTGTTATACAAAGTATTTGTGTAACACCTGTTACCGCATATAATTTGTATAAAACTGTTACGTAAAAAAAATGTATAAGCGATGTTACACATGGACACGAACGTTACAAATAGCTTTGAATTATGTTACATTAAGTGATTTTCAGTGTTTTTGACAGTAAACTGGCGTCTGGCTGCACGTTTGCGCCGTGCGCGCCTGACCCAAAGTGCTGATGTGATGAGGCGCGTTTTGTGCGCATCTCAACTGGATGCAGATTTTTATCCAGCAGGTGACGAATAAGCATCTTTTTTCTGGAGAATTAATTTTTGTCTTTCATGAAAATGCAAATTCCTTACTTGCTAGATTCCAATCTGCATCTGCATCCACACTGTAAATGCAAGTGTGTGAATGTTGCTCACCTGCAGGTGAGCGACATTCTATTCGTATACTTAAGGGGGTAAACGTGTGAATTTTCTAGGAAGAATTCACACCTTTACCCCCCTGAGTGTACGAATGGAATGTCGCTCACTTGCAGGTGAGCGACATTCACACACTTGCATTTCCAGTGCAGTTGAGTGTGATCAAAAACGCATCTTTTTATGGACAAAAAAAAAGTCCTTTCGGATTTAGTATGGATCCACATTTAGAGTTATGTACTCAAATAGTCTAATGTATGTCGTTGCTTAATGAACAAACTGAATCTCTGTCTCTTTGTGACCAGTTACGCCGCTGTTCCCGTCCGTGCAAGATGTTGAACCTGGTGCGAGAAATGTCCACTTGCAAAGACTGAAAGAAATGGGTCCATACGGTTCCATGCAGGAGCTGCTTCAGCTGCATATTGATCTGATTTCCGAGGACTACCTGTGCGCTTTGCACGATCAGCTGAACACTCTCCGCCTAAATCCTGAGCTCCTGGACACTCCTGACCACTACGAAATTAGAGGCAAGTTACATGCACGTCCGTAAAGACATTCTATGTCATGGGGACAATTTTCGTCCATTGATAGGTTTTATAAAAGTATTACAGTATATTATAGGTACAATGGAGTATTCTCAGTATTACAGTCTATTACACCCAGTACTAGGGACAATTTTGTCCACTTAAAATGCACTTTTTTTTTTTGCATTTAGATCCAGAGGCAATTTTGTCTATCTATGAATGCACAATTTAATTGCATCTAGCGGGGTGGACAATTTTGTCCATGGCAAGATGCAATTAACTTGTCACTATTTTTATGGACAAAAAAATGTCCCTTGCCATTTAGTGTGTAGGTCTGACCTTTGTTTAATAACATTTAGGTACAGGTACCGCGTTGTAATGACCTAATGAGGAAATATGTAGTAAGGGGTTAATTTAGAACTGCACATTGTGAGGTTGGGCATCTGTGCAGCAGTGTCGGGGCGAAAAACAAGTTATTTATTGCAATATTCTAGTCATACTTAAACGCGTAAAATGGGGATGACTGGATGTAAAATATGAGTACAACACACTAGTGGAGCAAACAAAAGACCAATTAAAGGGTGCGGGAGGCAATATTTGAGTTTCATCATTGATTGAACGTGGCCACAATATGGTCTTTTACGTTGTACTAAAAGTACGTGATTTGAACTATCGCCACTTTACACATATCTTATTTGAAGCTAAATAAAACCATTGCGACCAAAACACCTAGCAAATTAGACGAAAAAAAAATTAATTCGGAACTCCCAAATGGCCCGTATTCTGAGAATCATCTTCTAACGTTATTTTAGGAGTTAAGTTCTAACTTGTGACTTTCTGTAGTCCTTTGCCTAGTTCCGTACGGACGAAAACCCTACAATGGTTCAAGAATG